GGAGAAAGAAGTTAAAGTTGTGCTTACAAATATGTACAAATCCAACTTGAATCTTTCAACTTCAATAAAACGTTGAAATTGGGTTTGGGTTGAAAATTAACTTTATCCAATAGAAAGACGTCATATAATAATTAAAAAATATAAGGTTGTTAGTTTAAAAGGTAATAGTGGACCAAAAAGATTGATTGAGGAGTATTTTTAACCCTATAGATGGATGAGGGGTATTTTTAAACCTTTTTTGAATAGTACAGGGATATTTTTGGCCCTTTTCCGTACTAAAAATAGTTGTCACATATTAATTGTCTACTTTACTAAATCAAAAAAACACTGATTTTTTTTCCTACTTTTGCAATTAATTCTTTTTTAAAAGTGTTCAAACTAATTATTGTAGTAGGTCCCACCCCTTTAATTTGATTAGGTAAAAGTCAATATAATGCATATTATTAAATTGAGGTTGTATTATGAGTTAGGTGTGCCTAGAGCTGTCAATATAGGTTGGCCCACCCCATCCGGGTTAATCCATACAGACTTTGAAATTTGATGGGTCAGGCCGGGCAAACTCATTTTTTATGTGGGCCAGAAAATGATTAACCCAGCCCACAAGTACGTGGGCTACGGGTTTGCCGGGTCAGCCCTCTTTTCGTAAAAGTATATTTTTATAATTTTTTAATTAAATTATAATTTTGAAATATTATCATAAATATCGACAAGATAATATTACATGGTGTTAGTGTTACGACTTGTTAATCAAATTCGTAAATAAAATTATCTTTCTAATATTTATTAAGTTTGATTTCAAGTAAAAGCATAAATAGCTAAATAAAAATATTAACCTAATTGTTTTTTAATGATCATAATAAAATACAAAAACTATGACTATGTAGTGATTCCTAGAAATTTTAGGGAATTTTTATTTTATGTAATACATATTTTATAAACATAATTTGTATTTAAATTGTAATATTTCAAACTTTAAACTGATTTTGAGTTTAGACTCTTATTATTTTTAAAACTCTATTTTATTTTTTAATTAATTTTTATTTGGCCCACGGGCGGTCCCTATCCATATTTCTCAAGTCCAAATCGACAGACTTATTCAGGCCGGGTTAAAAAAAAAATTCTTAAATGGGCTCCAAAAATTATAGTTCAACCCTGTCAAATCACGGGTTAGGCCAGGCCGGCCCAACGGGCCTAGCCCATATTGACGACTCTAGCTTGTGCCCTGTATATATTTGTGGGTATTTTTTAGCATTACAACAAAAATATTAGTAAGTGGTTATGATAAATATGGAAGAAAATAATTTGGCTAAGCTAGGGGGCTCTTTGCCAGTACCAAGTGTTCAAAAACTGGCCAAAGGCTCACCGGAAAATGTCCCGGCGCGTTACCTCAGAGATGATGATCAACTACTTCTTGTTTCTCCGATGATGAAATTTGATCATTATAATATCCCAATCATCAACATGGAAAGCTTGCTTCGTGGCGATGAATGCGAATTCAACAAGCTTGATTCTGCTTGTAGAGAATGGGGATTTTTTCAGGTTAAATTTTAATTCGAATATAAGTGATAGTAGCAGTACTATTTTGGTTTTCTATTATTGGTGGAGTGGTAAGTACTCATTCATCTTTATCTGTAGTTTGGTACTACGTACTTTCAATATGGAAGTCTAGTGAAATCGTGATATATTAACCAATTCTTGGATGAAACGATCAAATTATAAAAATTCTCTTCTATCAAGCTATTTTTCCAAAGTCATTAAGAAGGGCAAAGTAAAAACAATATTTTTTCAAGTTTATCTAGCTTTAAAGTAAGTACATATTTTTAATTTGAATTATATGACGTATATGTCATTTTTAATTCAATGAATCAAACAAAACACCGGATCTAAATTTTTATATTTATTTTTTTAATCAAAATTAGTCACCTTCAGGGTGGTACCTTATATATCAAAATAACATAGCAAAATATATGGACTAAAATACTTAATATTTTAAGCTTTTTTTTTTTTTTTACATAAGGGTGATATTTTAAACACTTCATGACACGCACAACAAAATAATATGGCTAATGATGCCGGCTAATGATTAAACATATTTATTTTTTAAAATGAAAAATTATTTGACTCCCAAACAAAGGAAGGGAGTAATAAACAATATTGTACTGGGTTTTATATTCTCTTTTTCTTTTTATTAATGTTATATAGATTATTCAGATAAATTACCTGAATTTTATAGTAAATATATGATTAATAGATGAAAATAAACAATTTAATAATGATGACATTGATAATTAATAATAAGGAAAAGGGTCTCTTGTACTACTTTTTAGCAGTTGAATACATTTCCCATAAAGAGGAGATCAAGTTCATATTTTAATTTCAAAATAGATTTGAATTATCCTAGATGTATGAAGAAGGATATGGATGGTTATCAAGAAAAAATATTTGAAGAAAAAGAGAATATAAATGTCATCATTATGGGAAATATATTCAACTGCTAAACAGTACTACAAGTGACCCTTTCTTCTAGTGGGAGATAACAGGTGGAGCCAACGACCCACTAAGACTAACCTATCTACAACTATATTTCCGAGCGGCAGTCAAACGGGGATGTGAATGCGAGATGCTAGCGGAATGATCGACCAGACAGAGGCTAGGGCTCCTTTCTTGATTTGTTAAAATGAACAAGAAAAATGGACAAGATCCTAAATTTTCTTCTAGTGGGGTAAAAAAAAATTGAATAAAAAAAATATTATTTATATTAGATAAATTTAAGGCCTCTTAATAAAGTTGGCTTTAGGCCACAAATATGGTTGAGCCGCCCCTAGCCTATAACTTTACTGTTTAAAATCAATTTGTGTTATAAGATAAAATTCTTGATTGTTTCGCTTGAAAGACTACTTTTTTTTTCTTTTTTTTTGACTGATTCAATCAAAATATATGCGAGAATGAGAATAGCCACTAAACATTTTTTTTTTACAGGTGATAAATCATGGAGTGAGTGGTACACTAGTAGAGAAAGTGAAGAAGGATACTCAAGATTTCTTCAACCTCCCACTAGAAGAAAAGGAAATGTTGAAACAAGTGGATGGTGATATGGATGGTTATGGACAAGCTTTTGTTGTTTCTGAGGACCAAAAACTTGATTGGGCTGATATGTTTTTCTTGACAACTCTCCCTTCTCAATTCAGAAAACAGCATATCTTCCCCTACCTCCCTCAACCATTCAGGTATTACTACTGTCCCGATTAATTCAGATTATCATTGCATAGAGCTCATTTAAAGGTATTATCCCAAGGTTTAAACTCGAGAACATATATGTTTAAAGGTAGAGGGATCGCATCCATTCAACTATAACTTTAGTGGTCCTCTTTTGGTTTATTTGGTTCTTCATAGTTTGCCTTGACACAAACAATGAAAAAATTGGAATTTTGTTAAATGTCTTGTTATGGCTAACAACTTTGAAATAATACATGTTCATTCTTTTTTATATGAACATATAATAAAATACTCCCTCAAGTCAAAGTATTAATGAGTTGTTGCTCGGACTCTTCAAAAACATCATGTCCTAGAGTAGAGTAGTGTATTTCTGGAGGACTCAAACACGAGTGCCAGTTATTTTCTTTATTATCAGTATACATAAGTTAAATCCGAGTTAATTTGAGACGGTGTTATCTCATGCCAACGAAAAATACAGGATATTGGCTAATGAGTTGTTGTATTGAAACAGAGGAACAGTGGAACTATATGCAGTTGAACTGAAAAAACTGGCTTTAAAGATCATTCATTTTCTAGCAAAAGCATTGAAAATGGATGAAGAATACATAAGGGAACTTTTTGGAGAAGGATCGCAATCAATGAGGATGAATTATTATCCACCATGTCCGCAACCAGACAAAGTGATAGGACTTACTCCTCATTCAGATGCTGTTGGCCTCACTATTCTCCTTCAACTAAACCAAATGGAAGGACTTCAAATCAAGAAAGATGGCATGTGGATTCCTATTAGTCCTCTTCCTGATGCCTTCGTTATCAACATTGGTGATATCATGGAGGTAATTAAGCTGCTATGATCGCCTTTACTATATTGCTCGGATTCTGCAAAAAATGTTGTTGTATCCTGATCTTCCGAAAAATGCACTACTTTTTGAAGAATTCGAGCAACATATAGTGTAAATATTCAAAATCTTGGTACATCAATTAGTAGGTATGAGAGGATTAAAATCGGATCCTTAAGGACAAATGATTGATTTACCTGTTTGAAACAATTTAAGTGAAGGACTATGCATAACAGAATACATCATTCCTTGTTATGGAGCGCGTAAAGGAGTATAAGATGTTGTATGACTACATCTATTTTTATTTCTGTGTTAACAGATGTGTGCTGGTTTTGCACATCAAACTGTTATGTACTCTGTTAAATGAGAAGTATATTCTATTTGCAGATAGTGACAAATGGAGCCTACCGTAGCATTGAGCACAGAGCAGTGGTTAACAGCGAAAAGGAAAGACTCTCAATTGCAACATTTTACAGCACAAAACTTGATGGACAAATTGGTCCTGCTCCGAGTATCATTTCTGCTGAAAATCCAGCAAAGTTCAGAAGTATTGGAGCTATAGATTATTTCAGAGGTTTATTTGCTCGTAAACTTGATAAGAAATCATACTTAGATGCTATGAGAATTGGAAATTCTGAAAATCCAGTAAGTTGAAACGCGACAGTATTGGACCTATGTATCCTCTAGTAATTGTGACACTATGTATTAATCTATCTTCAGAAGTTGTGTTTCATCAACATTCAGTTACTAGTTTGATGTTATAATCCGACAAAGAGGCCATGATCGACACATTGAGGGACAAAATTCACCTTGCAAGTGTACCACTTTTGTAGAAAAATATATCAGAAAAGAATTTTATCAAGAAAAGTAAGATTGTTCATTCACAATATTTTCTGATACAAATACATCAGCAAATAAAAAGGAGGAGATATGTATATATGATAAGGAAAAAAAAGGAAGACAAAAATAAACCTAATCTATTTTTTGGTCACAAGATGAAGCAGTAATCAGGCTGAAGTCATATGCAATGCTACTAAGGATGCATAAACTCCATCTTTTATGTTCATAAGAGCATCATGCTTTCCTTCCTCAGCAATGACTCCATTCTTCACAACAGCAATGACATCAGCTCCTTTGATTGTGGTTAAGCGATGAGCTACAACCACAGTCGTCCTATTTACCATTACTCGATCCAATGCTTCTTGAACTATACGTTCTGATTCTGCATCTAAAGCACTTGTTGCCTCGTCTAGCAAAAGAATCTTTGGATCCTTCAGTATAGCTCTTGCAATAGCTATTCTTTGCTTTTGTCCACCTGATAATTGTATTCCTCTTTCCCCAACCGATGTATCATATCCTTGAGGCAATGAAGATATAAAGTTGTGTGCATTTGCTGATTTTGCTGCTTCAATGATCTCTTCTTCTGTTGCATGCCCTTGTCTGCTGTAGGCAATGTTGTCACGAATTGTTTCGTTAAACAGTACTGGTTCTTGACTAACCAGGCCCATTTGTTGTCTTAGCCAACTTAGCTTGAATTGTTGGATTTCCACACCATCCAAATATATCGATCCTGATTCAGGATTGTAGAACCTCTCTATTAGGCTAATGACAGTTGATTTACCGCTTCCACTCTCTCCCACTAGAGCAACAGTCTACAAAGAGAACCGAATTTTTTTTTTAAGCCAATTGAGTAAAAGATGAAAGTACGCTATAATGTAGAGGGAGTACTCGAAAATACCTTTCCAGAAGGGATAGTTAGGCATAAATCCTTGAAGATTTGGACATCCGGGCGAGTTGCATACCTGTAACTCACATGTTTGAATTCAATATCTCCGCGAACAGCAGCTAGAGTAGTACCAACATCAGAACTTGAGTCAATCTCGGGTTTTCTGTCAAGAATGTCAAATATAGAGGCTATAGAATCCTTGGCTTTGCTAGCATCTGGAGCCATTCCTGTGCTTTGTGTAACCCCAACAGCTGATAGAGTCAATGCAAAGAAAACCTGCAACATTAAAAATTTCTTTCAGAAAATTAATAACGATACACGAGAGCTGAAAAGGAAGATAAATCTGAGAGACTTTACCTTAAAAACTTGGCCAAATGATGCCAATCCATGCTGAATAAGGACGGATCCTATGTAGAAACAGAAGGCATTTGTACAATACAGTATAAAAGAACCAAAGCCTAAGCTTGCTCCACTAACAATTCCAATCTTCACTCCTTGCTTCATTGGACCTTCACATTTCTTTTGGTACATGTCCATCACTTTCTCCTCTGCACAGAATGATGCCACTGTTCTTATACTCCCGACAGCATCGTTTGCTATTTGACTAGCTTCTTCATACATCACCTAGAAAAATGAGAATCCATTTTTAAGTTAAATCAAGCACACTTTAATGTAATTTATTTTTCAAAGATAAGAAAAGACGGAATACCTTTGCATCAGCACTAAAGCCTTTGTACATCTTGGTCTGGAGGAATCCTTGCACACCAATTAAAGGCATCACGAGAAGGATTATAAGTGCTAAAATCCAATTGGCAGTGAAGGCTATCACGAGGCCGGCTACTACAGTTGCTATGTTCTGTACAATAAGTGCCAGTGCATCACCCATAAGGGTCCTGACTGTGGAAGCATCAGTTGATAACCTTGCACCAATTGCACCACTGCATTCAAGAAAATTTCACATTTTTAGCTTATAACACTCTGTTAAGTATTTAAGATAGAGGGGGGGGAGAAGGCAGGATTTGATTTGTTACTAACCTTGAATGTGCTGGATCATCGAACCAGCTGATTTCTTGGTGGACTACTTTCTTAAATGTCAAAGAACGAATTCTCTCGATCAATTTCCCCCCTGCAACTCCAAATAAGTAGTTCTGGAAAGGTACAACTAGCAAAGTTACCACACCGAGGCCAAAATACATGAGTGCCCAGAATCTTGATTCACTTCGCAGCTTTTGTGGTGGGTAAAAGAATATTTTAATAGCTGTCGATAGTAAGAGTCCAAATAACGGGAAAATAAGACCATGTATGATTGCAGCCAGTGATCCAAGTAACAGATATGGAAGCTCAGGTTTGTTTAGTCCAGCAAGCCGCCTAATGGAAACTTTCTTTCGTTTCTGTAAGCTTCCCTTATATTCTTTTTGCTTGTCCTCATCTCCTATTTCTGCTTCGTGAATACCAATTAGCCCAGGAACAGTATAGTTGAGTGTGAAAGAATGTCTAGATGATCCCTGGCTTGTTGATCGCCTCATTGCTGACAATCGCTGGCTTGATGACCTGCTCAGGTTATTATCCAAATCCGTGGTTAAATCCACCTTCTCAAGGTCCATATTTTTCATGTTTTCTTCTTCTCTATTCCCTCCCTGCATTCGCACAAGCTGGGAATATGCCCCATTTGGATCTTGTATCAACTCAGTATGTGTTCCTATTTTCATAATGAGGGAAAAGAATGAATTTAGTTTAGTTATACAACTAGAGTAAAGCCTGATAAAAGTTCTTTAGAAATTTTACCTTTTTCTATTAGTTTTCCAGTATTCACCACCGCTATAAGATCAGCATTTCTAATGGTCGTTAGACGATGAGCAACAACAACGGTCGTTCTATTGGCCATGACTTTTTCGAGTGCTTCTTGCACGATTCGCTCTGATTCAGCATCAAGTGCACTTGTAGCTTCATCAAGGAGGAGTATTCTTGGGTTCTTTAAGATAGCCCTTGCTATTGCCAGTCTTTGCTTTTGTCCACCAGATAGTTGTGTTCCATGCTCACCTACCATAGTGTCTAGCCCCTACAGAATCAGCAATGAAAATGATGAAACTCCCATTCGTTTGCCAATTTAACAGCCAATTGTAGGTGTGAACATGGAATAAAGGGAAAATCCTATATTACCTGAGGAAGTTTATCGAGGAACTTAGCAGCATTAGCAAGCTCAATAGCTGTCTTAATCTCATCTTCAGTAGCATTTTCTTTACCATAACTGATATTCTCTTTTATGGTTGTCGCAAACAGGATAGGTTCCTGACTTACCAATCCCATCTGTTGCCTTAGCCATTTGAGTTGAAATTTCTTCAAATTGACACCATCTATTAATACTTCTCCAGCCTCAGGATCATAGAATCTCTCCAGTAAACTGATAACTGTGGACTTCCCACTTCCACTTTGCCCAACCAAAGCTACAGTTTTGCCATTAGGAACGATAAGTGAGAATCCACTAAAGATCTGCACATCTGGCCTGGCTGGATACCTAAAGTACACATCTTTAAGTTCAATTTCACCCTTGATGTTTTCCAACACAACCCCGTTTGTGTCCGATGTGTCAATCAGAGGCTTCCGGTTGATTGTCTCAAACATTTTGTATGCTGCAGCCTGTCCTGCTGCAAACGCGTTCAAAGATGGCGTTGTTTGGCCTAGAGACCTGCATATTGATAAAGAGAACAAGCAAAAGTGTTTCAGTACTCTGTAGCCTACACCAATTTTCCAATACAACATATCAAAGATCCTTCTTTAAACAGAGAATTATATGCTTACATTCCACCAGTCATTATAGCCATAATAACATTGATAACATCTCCACCATTATAACCTCTCTCTATTATCAGCTTGGAACCATACCAAACGGCAAGTCCATAAGTAGAAAAAACAATGAGCAAGACCGTGCCAAGTCCAACGCCTGAAACAAGCCCTTGTTGGACAGTAGAAGCACAGGCAATTTTCAGTTTGCTGTCATACTTATCTATCGCCAGCTTCTCTCCAGTGAATGCTGAAACCTGAAGTCATCCAGATTTCAGATTAAAATTGCAAGTCTAATAAAAAATTATACATGTAGAACTATTTGGATCAGGCTTTTTACCGTTCTGATTGCTCCTATTGTCTGCTCTACTACATTTCCAGCTTGTGCATAGGCAACTTGTCCACGACTTGACATTTTGGACATGATCAATGCCATAGCTCCTCCAGCAATGACAAGAGCAGGTATGCAAGACACCAAGACTATCGACAGAAGCCATCCCTTAAAGAACGCGACTATGAACCCTCCAACAAATGTTGAGATGAATTGAATGAACTTCCCAACCTGGAATCATTCAACTTAAGTTTGTTATGATTATTTTACAAGAAATAACGAAAACTAAAACATTATTCAATTTGCAGTAGCATTTACGAGCACCTTTTCACCCAAGGCATCTTGAATGAGAATAGTATCTCCAGACATTCTTCCAATGACTTCTCCTGTTGTTGTTTCAGTGTCAAAAAAGGCAATGTCCTGCCTCAATATTGTCTTCAAATATAGTCCTCGAATTCGAGTCGCTTGTCTCTCTCCAGTAACCATCCAACATGACATTTCTGCAATGTTACAAAGGGGAAAATTTTCAATATTGAATGCATAGGTTCTTTCCATTACTACCATAGTTCAAAAACTCAAATTTACTACTGTTATGTTATGGTTCATTTTACACATCATTCTTGATCCTTAGATTAGAGTCGTGTTATAGTAGAGTCAGAATTTTTATCAGAAGAATTCAAAATTTAAAATAAAATTACTAGGACCTTATAGATAGCATAATTTTCCAATGAAACCCCTTACTACGCTACATTCCCAATAAAATTTTCATTAGAGCTTGAGGTACTTGATGACATTAAACCTTCGTCAGAATAGCACACTTCTATTCCGGGGAGGAAAGATCATCAAATTAGTCGAGCCCCAAAGTGATTACCATAAAATTACCTTTTTCTTTGGAATTTTATTAACGTAGACTTTCCTAAACATGGTGGGGTTAGTAATTGATTGAAAAAAAATGTGTTTTTACTACTTTTGACTTTAATAAAACAAGCACGCAAAGGCACCGATTCTAACGTACCCCACAAATTAAATGGGAACCTCTATATGACTATCACACGTATTTAGCTAAAGTAACTTATAATATTTTTACGTCAAAAGTATTTATAAAAATTTTCATATCCTTGATTCACCAATTATACTCATGTTGGTGTAGAAAAACAATACAAAGAAGCTTCGATTCAAGTAAAACATATCAAAACATTTCGAAATAAGAAAATACAGATGAGTGTATACTTACGTAAAAGGGATGCAACGCCAGCTCCAATAGCGAGGTAGACATAGTCAATAGAAACCTGAAATCAAAAATTCCAAAAAAAAATTAAAAAAAAACTAATTAAAGAAGAAAAAGTAACAAAGTTTAGTCAAATGTTGTTTATTATGAGACCACTTAAGAACAGTAAATTATAAAGTTGATTAGACTGTAACACAAAAAAATTAGAGTTCACATTAGTATATACTTTTATTCTTTCCCACTTTTATAGTGGGATTTGTAATATAAAAAATTTGAATTAAGCTTTATATTGCATTAGATAGCATAAATCAAAAGGAATTCTATATGAGAAAATCATAATTATGTTTGCCACAGAAAAAAAAAAGTAAATTCCTATTGCTATTTCCAATAATTCAAATTGACACTTCTTAACTTATTATAGAAAAGATAAAATTCAAATAGATGAGTGGCACCATTAAGGATGCTTAATTGTTCTTCGCGGAAAAAAACAAAGGAAAACAAAAGCGTAAAATTATTTTTATATTATGAGTACACGTATTGGAGTCCGACTAACCTAGATTTGCATAAGGTAAATTCTATTCGAAGGCTCAAACCCAAGACCTCTAATTAAGGTGCAGTGTGCATTCTTTGTTGGTAACACTTTCAATATTATTAAACAATGAAACTTTTAAAATACACAAAGAAAAAAACTTCAAAATATAATTTAAGATGTGGTGATTACAATAGTAATTAGTACAGAATCAGTTCTTGATTATAAATACGGTCATGATATTAAATTGATTGTCCATTTAGTTATAATAACTCTATCCAACATGATTATAGTATTGAAAACTAATTTCTTGAATATTTATCGCTATAACACTCGTTTAATTAAAAAATAATTACACCATCAGTATATATAATTAAAACCAGACTTTCATGCTTTTCCATACACCAACCCCCTCCCCCCCCCCCCCCAAATTAAAACTGTTTATTAGTATCTTTCTTGTTGTTGTAGAACGAGACCTTAAAAGGCAAGTTTTAAGTTAATGTAATCGTAATTTAAACGTTACAACTTCAATTTAATTGCATGAAACCAAGAAATTAATCAAGATAATTAATACAAACAAGAACATAATCAAATTAAATACATACCTTTGAGATTTTATGTACAACTTCATCAGAATTTGAAGAACCAAAAGAATTAACAAGCTGGCCAAAAATAAGTGTCATTAAAGGTTGAGTTAATCCATTGCCAATAGCTCCAATTGTTCCAATTATCATTAGGGCAACATCAAATTTATCTGCAAAAGAAAATAATTTGTAGAATGACACTTTTTGATCTTCATCTCCTTTTTTTTCTCCATTATTATTATCCTCCATCTTCAAAAAAAAAAAGATTAATATGATATATCCCTTAGGGTTTTAAAGAAAATCAAGAAGAGGAGAAGAAGAAAAAAGAGCTATTTATAAGATAAGAAAGTTTGTTAGTAAAACTAAAAATTTCAGGATACTTTTGATATTAGGTTTTAATATTAGCGTATTTATAGCTGTATTTTCTTTTATTTTCCTTATTCTAGTTGACTTCTGTTTGAGCTTTTCCTATTTGTAGAAAAAGAGAAAATAATTACTTTATCTCTTCTAGAAACATTGAACGTATGTAGACTATTATATATATAGTCAATAGGATAACTATTGCCACCAAAATTTTAGTGGTAAGCTTAGCACCAGCCTAATTATTTGTAACTTTTCGTAAATTAAGTAAGTAGAATATTATAAATTTATGGAAATAATCTATTTATCTTCCTAAGGAAATTTATGAAAACTAATTAAGTGTATGTGATTTGCATTGTGTGTAATTGTGTTAATTAATAATGCAATAAATATAACCTAAAAGTTGAGATGGAAGAAAACTGAAAGTATCTTTTTTTTTCTATTTTAAGTACCATTATTATCCACATATAAATCGACATTATTAAGAATCTTCATGTTTTTAATATAGTATAGATAGTTAAATTTAGATAATCTATTTATTTTCGTAGTATATATAGGAGTAAGGTTTATATATGTTCTATATTCTACAAATTTTACTTGTTATTATTATTATTGTTGTTGTTTTTGTTGTTGGTGGTGATGGCGTTGTGAGGTAATACTTGAATTCTACTGAGTAATAACCAAGAATAGGGGGTATCAATGATTTTTTTAGTAAATCGATTTATTGGTCGAAGAAAGTAGATTAATTAGTTGATTTATCTTAATAAAATTGTAAATTTGTATATGGAATTTATAATTATACCGAATAATTAGATTGATTATTGATTTTATAAAAATATAAAATAAATTAGAAAAAAATGAAGTATACCGTACTGTATCAAATATATTTATGTACAGAATACATTTTGTATATTAGGTTTAAATAATGATTCATAAATATTCCGTATTTGGTCTAGATTGATGAAAATGGATTAATTGATATTAGTCAAAACGAAATTAACACTCAAATCTTAATTCTGAAATCTATTATGCTACTCGTAATGTGGCCTTCGTGGTCCAGTGAGGTCCGCCCCATATAGGCATAAGCTTATATTAAAAAAGTTCACTTGAAAATTGACGGAATTCTTTGATAGCTTCTTGAAGTTATAACCAATTTTTAGTTAGATATCTCTAATACGTCTTTTCATTTTAAAACTTAAATAGAACATTAATATGTCATTTTGACAATTATTGTTGACTTATAATGTGAAAAATGCTTCTTTTTTTTTTTTTGGTAAACATGTTTTCTTTTTCTTTTTCTTCACTTTATATTCATAATTTCTTATTATCTACTCTACCTTCCACCAATAAACATCCTTACAAAACATGAAAGAACAAAAATAAATAAAAAAATCATATCCGTTTGAAAAAAAATTGTAAGAACAAAACACGAAAAATTGAAAGAAAAATATAAGAAGAATTATATTATTTTTATTGGATGTGTGGATAAAAAAAAATCTAATAAAAAAAAAAGTGGAAGATGAACAAAAGGTCAGGGGTGACGCAAGTTGGTGTGAGGTGAAGAAAATAGATACGTAATTTTATTTGTTTATTTTTATTGCTAATTAATTATTTATTCTTTTATAATTTATTTTAAATTATTATTTTACGCTCCAATACCATATGTCCTCTTTTTATTTAAGTCATCATGTTGTAATCCACAAATATATTACACATACTTTATAATTTTAACTAATTATCGTCAATAAAATATCAAATAACATAATAGAATTTCACTATACAGATTATTAAAATGAATAAAACAGATATAATAAAAACAGTTGAATATCATATGTTTTCTTCATAAGTACATTAGCTTTGTGTATGATTTATACTATTACTCTTATCTTCATTATTTTTGTTTATTTATAACAACTTGGGACAAGGGAAATTTTGCGTAGGCATATATAATTCTGATTTTAATATGTCGGCAATAACATTTTTTGCAGTTTGCAAAATTATTAGTGACGTAATCAATGACTCTTTTATTTTGATTCTAAATCTAAAAGGACATTTTTGGAAAATTAAAGTGAAATAATTATAAAAGATAATTAATGTTGTGTAGATGGACAACCACTCTGTTCACGTTCTTTTCGTTTTCTTTCCTCTCTTTTTTTCCCCTTTAGGATAAATCCTCTTTCGGAAAATTAAAGTGAAATTTTTTAATACACTATTATTATTGAGTACCTCAATAAGATATGAATAAAGATCATTTAGACCTTATTATGAATAAAGAAACTATTGATGTATTTATTTATCCTAATAAATATCATCAAAAAATATATTGGTTATACAAATACAGGCATTATATATAGGAAATTCTTTCTTTAAACAATCTATTTACATATGAATGTACTATCATATTATCATGTTCTATAAGATAGTCAATTGTTAATACTTTAATGTCAAGACGTAACCAACTTATAAAGCAAGTGACTCAATATATAAGAGGTGTTATTTTCTTTGGAAAAAAAAATCAGCAATGTTGAATACAATGTTATTACTTGCACACAATAGAATCCATAATATAGTCGTTTAGAGAGTTTTGTTTATGAAAATATTTTTTTCTCAACAATTTTAATATTTCCTTTTTATTAGTTTTTAATTATGTAGGCCAGTTGGTCCTATCATATAATAATATTGTGTCTTTTAGTAAAAAAAATGTTGTTACTTGCATAGCAAAGGAGCCAAAGTAAATTACATTTCACCAAAGAATAGTGAAATAAATATCTAATATTTTGTTTGAGGGATAATTTGACAGAGTAATTCACTGACATTGTTAATCTCAATATTAGGTTGTTACACGAGATTGAAAAGTCAATGTCACATAGATATCAAATGATAGTAAATGTGCTATGTAACATTTTTTTCTTAATCAAGATTTTGTCTCACTAAATTTTTCGATACAATCTTAGGATTGAGTTGGGCTATTATTTTGGAGGTCCTTCTGGATGAAGGGTTGGGTTAGACTAGGCCATTGTAGTCTCCGACCCGCTGGACCAGATTGGACTGTACCGATCCATTTTGATAACTCTATATATATAGCTATGCAAAATTACTCTTTTCACATAATTAGTAGGAAAATTTTCATATATTGCAAACGGATTTAATGAAATAATGTTTTATAGGTATAGTTTATGTAATTACATTTCAGGGGTATAGTTTAGTTTGCTATGGAGCATTTAATTTGTTACGTTTTTTTGTTTATATTTATACAATATTTTTTTTAATAAATGGATACATGAACGCTAAATAAGGTAACAGAAGATTCACATAATCCCATGATTCAAGCTAATCGTTTTAAATCAAATATTTTTTCAAAAAAGAGTTATTTAACGATACAAACACCATAACAATTGTTTCCTCATACCACTGAAGCAATATTAAACGGAAAAAAAATTGGTTCATCAATATTCTTGTATATTCAATGCCAGGTAGACGTTTCTTTCAAGGAAACTTCATGTTTTGAACGGCAAAAACGAATACGATTAATTTGTATAGCTAGTATATAACTGAAATTTTCAAAAACGAATTATTAATGTTTGTTTATTCTAATGATTCACAAGTATGTATTTTTGTTTATACAAATGTAGACAGATTGTATATTAACAATTCTATTCTAATGGTTGGTTAAAAAAATCGAATTACACCATTTGTACATATGAATTGTATATGTATAGCACTGCATGTTTTGGGGCACTTCCCCTTTATATTATACCATCAAATTAAGGTAATATACCAGCCACCAGGGGCATACACACGTTACATGAAGTAATGTCATCTAAGGCTGGGCACCGGAACGGGTTGTACCGGTACCGTTCCGGTTCGTTCCGGTTTGTTCCGGTCCGGTAGTATTCGGGACGGGATGGGATACACTGAATTATTGTCATCTAATACTGCTTCATTGTAAAATAATATTTTTTCTGTTTTACTTTGATTATCTTGTTTTAATTTAATTTGATATGGAGTTTGAAAAAGTAAAAAAGACTTCTAAATCATGTAATCTTAAATTAAAAATATGTCAATGTATCAAAATGTCATTTAATCTTGTAGTCTTACACATGTCCGGCGAAAAGTATATTAATCAAAAGTAAAATATCAAATACAAGCCACATATCTGATGAATATGATTCAACTAATACATTACACCAACTTATGGTGGAAAACCTCAAAAGATGAAGGTCTTAAATCAAAATATTTTACTTGTAGGAAAAAAAGTTCAGGCTGAAGTCATATGCAATGCTACTAAGGATGCATAAGCTCCATCTTTAATATTCATAAGAACAGCGTGGCTTCCTTTCTCAGCAATGATTCCATTCTTCATAACAGCAATGATATCTGCTCCTTTGATTGTGGTTAAGCGATGAGCTACAACCACGGTTGTCCTATTTACCATTACTCGATCCAACGCCTCTTGTACTATACGTTCTGATTCTGCATCTAACGCACTTGTTGCCTCGTCTAGCAAAAGGATCTTTGGATCCTTCAGTATTGCTCTAGCAATAGCTATTCTTTGCTTTTGTCCACCTGATAATTGTATCCCTCTTTCCCCAACCGATGTATCATATCCTTGAGGCAATGATGATATAAAGTTGTGTGCATTTGCTGATTTTGCTGCTTCAATGATCTCTTCTTCTGTTGCATTCCCCTGTCTACTGTAGGCAATGTTGTCACGAATTGTTTCGTTAAACAGTATTGGTTCTTGACTAACCAGTCCCATTTGTTGCCTTAGCCAACTTAGATTGAATTGTTTGATTTCCACACCATCCAAATATATTTCCCCTGATTCAGGATCATAGAATCTCTCTATTAGGCTAATGACAGTTGATTTCCCGCTACCACTCTCTCCCACTAGAGCTACAGTCTACAAAGAGAAGCGAAAAATAATATTTGAAGCCAGTCTCATATAAGATAAAATGCGGAGGGAGTACACGAAAATACCTTTCCAGAAGGGATGATTAGGCATAAATCCTTGAAGATTTGGACATCTGGGCGAGTAGCGTACCTGTAACTCACAAATCGGAATTCAATATCTCCATGAACAGCAGCTAGAGTGGTGCCAACATCAGAACTTGAGTCAATCATGGGTTTTCTATCAAGTATGTCAAATATAGAAGTTATAGAATCTTTAGCTTTGTTAAAATTTGGAGCCATTGTAGTACTTTGAGTAATTCCAACAGCTGCTAATATCAATGCAAAGAAAACCTGCAATGTTAAAGTTCTATTTCAAAAACTAAGACACGCAGGCAAGAGAAAGAGAGAATTATGTATTTTTACCTTAAAAACTTGGTCAACTGTCGCTAATCTATGATCAATAAGGACAGATCCAATGAAGAAACAGAAGCCAAGTGAAGAATAAAGTGTAAAAGAACCAAAACCTAAACTTGCTCCACTAACGATTCCAATCTTTACTCCTTTCTTAGTTGGACCTTCACATTTCTTCTGGTACATGTCCATCAATTTTTCTTCTGCACAGAATGATGCCACTGTTCTAATACCGCCAACAGCATCGTTTGCTATTTGACTAGCTTCTTCATGCATCACCTGAAAAAATGAGCAGAACCTTCTTAATATAGTTCAACCACCTTATAAAAGTTTATTTTGTTAAATAAAACTAAAGAAAACCTTAGCATCCGCAGTATAGCCTCTGTGGAACTTGGTCTGGAAGAGTCCTGGTGCACATATTAAGGGTAATACAACAAGGATTATAAATGACAGAATCCAATTAGCAGTGAAGGCAATCGCAAGGCCGCCTAATGCAGTTGCCATGTTTTGTACAATAAGTGCCAGTGCATCACCCACAACGGTCCTGACTGTAGAAGCATCAATTGATAACCTTGCACACAATGCACCGCTGCATTCGATAAAATTCCATGTTTTAGCATATGTCAAACTGCAGGGAGAATTTAATGACTATTCACTTGTTGACAGACCTTGAATTTGCAGGGTCATCAAACCAGCTGATTTCTTGATGGACTACTTTCTTAAATGTCAAAGAACGGATTCTCTCGATCAATTTCCCCCCTGCAACTCCAAATAAGTAATTCTGGAAAGGTATAACTAGCCAAATTACTACACCGAGGCCCACGTACATGAGTCCCCAGAATTGTGATTCATTTCTCAACTTATGTGGAGGATTAAAGAAGGATTTAATTGCTTCTGAGAGCAAGAGTCCGAATAAGGGCATTACTAGGCCATGCATAATTGCAGCCAATGATCCAAGTAGTACATATGGAAGCTCGGGTTTGTTTAGTTCAGCAAGCCGCCTAATAGGAATTTTCTTTCGATTCTCTGAACTTTGCTCATCGTCTTTTTTTTTATCCACATCTCCTATTTTAGCTTCATGAATATCAATCATCTCCCGAACAGGATAGCTGAGTGTGAAGGAATGTGTAGACGACTCATGGCTTGTTATTTGCTTCACTGCTGACAATTGCGGGCTTGATGACCTGCTCAAGTTTTCCAATTTCATGGTTATATTTACCTTGTCAGAGTCCATATTTTTCATAATCATGTTTTCTTCTTCATCACCTCCCTGCATTCGCATAAGCTGGGAATATGCCCCATTTGGATCTTGCATCAACTTATCATGATTACCTGTTTTCATTATGTGAGTAAAAAGATGCTTATTCTTATCCACAAAAGTAAAGCTTGATTGATGAACATGTCTCTTTTATCTTTAAATTATTACCTTGCTCTAGTAGCTTGCCATCATGTAGTACAGCTATTAGATCAGCCTTCCTGATGGTTGTTAGACGATGAGCAACAACCACAGTTGTTCTTTTCGCAATGACTTTCTCGAGTGCTTCTTGGACAATTCGCTCTGATTCAGCATCAAGTGCACTTGTAGCTTCATCAAGGAGAAGTATTTTTGGGTTCTTTACAATAGCCCTTGCTATTGCCAGTCTTTGTTTTTGACCACCAGATAGTTGTGTTCCATGCTCACCTACCATTGTGTCTAGCCCCTATAGATCCCCAAAACATGAAAAGAGTGAATGTCCATATAAACAATTTCAGTTAGGTCCTTTGCTTATTAGCAGCTTATTGAAACTATGGACATGGATATTAAGGGGGGGGGGGGGGGGGGCAATATTACCTGGGGTAATTTGTCAATGAAATTAGCAGCTTTAGCAAGCTCAATAGCTGCACTAATCTCCTCTTCAGTAGCATTTTCCTTACCATAACTGATATTCTCCCTTATGGTAGTCGCAAACAGGATAGGCTCCTGGCTTACTAATCCCATCTGCTGCCTTAGCCATTTTAGTTGATATTTCTTCAAATTGACACCGTCTATGAGTACTTCTCCAACTTCAGGATCATAGAATCTCTCCAGTAAACTAATAATAGTGGACTTCCCACTTCCACTTTGCCCGACCAAAGCTACCGTTTTGCCACTAGGAACAACAAGTGAGAATCCACTAAAGATTTGCACATCTGGCCTGGCTGGATACCTAAAATACACATCTTTAAGCTCAATTTCACCCTCGATGTCTTCCAACACAACCCCGCTCATGTCAGATGTGTCAATCAATGGTTTCCTGCTGATTGTCTCAAAGATTTTGAGTGCTGCAACCTGTCCTGCTGCAAATGCATTCAATGATGGTGTTGTTTGGCCTAGTGACCTGCAAATCAACAAGAAAACAAGCAAAAGGTTTTCCACTTCTTAGCCTACATTAACTATCCAATGTGACAAATCTAAGATGCTTTAAACTTGCAGAATTTTACACTTACATTCCACCAATCATTATAGCCATGAAAACATTGATGACATCTCCACCACGATAACCTTTCTCTATTATCAGCTTAGAACCATACCAAATGGCAAGTCCATAAGTAGATAAAAGAACAAGTAAGAATGTGCCGAGTCCAACTCCTGAAACAAGCCCTTGTTGAACAGTAAAAGCATACGCAATTTTTAATGTGTTGTCGTACTTAATCATTGCCAGCTTCTCTCCATTGAATGCTGCAACCTAATGTTTATTACTATAATTTAGATTAAAACTTGAAAGTCTAATGCAAAATCATTTAGAAAGACTTTGTATTTTGCTGTGAAGCTATACTGTTTTCATTGCTCCAACTGTTTGTTCCACTATATCTCCAGCTTGTGCATAAGTCATTTGTCCGCGACTTGACATTTTGGATATGATCGATGCCATGGCTCCCCCAGCAATGACTAGAGCAGGTATACAAGAAACCAAGACTAGTGAAAGAAGCCATCCCTTTGTGAAGGCGATAATGAAACCTCCAACGAATGCCGAGAGATATTGAATGAACTTCCCAACCTGCAATCATTGAACACATTAGTAAACTGCAGTAGTAGCATTAGTTAGATACAGAACAACACCTTATCTCCCAAGGCATCTTGAATGAGAAAAGTATCTCCAGACATTCTTCCAATGACTTGTCCAGTTGTTGTTTCTGTGTCAAAAAAGGCAATATCCTGCCTCAATATTGTCTTCAAATACAGTCCTCGAATTCGAATCGCTTGTCTCTCTCCAGTAACCATCCAACATGACATCCCTGTAATAATGTTTAGCAGCAAGCTTACACATTTTGTTTCAATTCCAATATAGTACAACAACACGAAATTAGGCTTCTGTCTTTATTTTTACCCTTCCTTGATCCAGTTAGCCAAACTTGAGCCAGACAGATTATGATTTATGAGCTACTCATTTCGTTAACTTGTCGTTTTTTCGCTTCATTAGAGTCAATTTGACTACTATTCAAAGTTAAATTAAATTTAAATATTTTAAATTTTCAAAAAGATGTAACTCTTTAAATCTTAATTATGTAAAATTTTCTTTATTTAAAAAAGGGATAAAAGTGAAAGAACATCATTAATATATTTTTTATTATCTAAAACACCACTTATTTTCGAACAGAGAAAAAACACTCTTACGTAAAAAGGAAGCAATCCCAGATCCAATAGCGAGTTAGACATAGTAAATGGCAGCCTGAAAATAAAATAAGTGTTGCTTTAGACGAAAAAATTTATCTCAAAATAACGGTTACTTTAAAAAATTTAGATAATAATTATTTTATCCTGTCTCATTTTACTTATCTACATCATTAAAAATATATATCTCAAATTACTTATAATCTACAAAATAAAAATACATTTAATTAACATTTTTTCAGTTTTCCCTTTAAATTATTCTTTTTGAAATATTGTAAAGTTCCCCATCCTTAATCTTGGTTATGAATATAGTGTACTAAAATGATCGAGTTAAAAGATAAATTAGTAAAACACTCTTTTTATTTATAATTTTTAATGGACCTGTTCAAGAAAAAGGGAATATATAAGTAATGTAGGACGGATAGAGTAGTAATTGTTTCCAATAATATCTTTATATTAAAGAACTATTTCTTCTAAATAATGTTCAATTCTCAAAAAATATCTATTAACTTAGTAAAAAATATCTTCTATTTATTATTTTTCTGATGAACATGGAAAAAGTTTAAACGAGACTTATTTAGAAAGAATAGAGTATTGATGATTTTTCTAACTTATCATCCATTTCTTGAATCTTAGAGAGGATATAGAAAATTAGGAATTTAAAAGAAACTCCTCCTTTGTTCAAGAAATTTGTAAGTGTTGTGCACTTCAATAGTGATCTTTAAAGACAAAGAAAGAACAAGCAAAGTAGTGATAATTATAAATTAATCTTTCCGTTTCAATTTGTTTGATCTATTTTAACTTTACATGGAGTGAGAAAATAAAGAAGAATGTTGAATCTTGTGCTCTTAAATTAAAGATATGTCAAATATACTACTCATTAATTTTGTGGTTTAAACATGTCATGTGAAAAATTAAAATTAAATAATTGCTAAGAAAGGAAAGAGTTTTTCTTTTTCAAACGGACTAAAAATAAAAGTAGGCTAAACAAATTGAAACGAAGGATATAATTTCTAAAGTATTCCCTTCTTCATTTTACTTGATCCCTATTCTAAAATAGATGTTTTATTTTACTTGTCCATTTTGATAAATTAAGAGAAATTCCTTTTATCTTTTTTTTATTCTACTCTTACTCTCTTAGTATTAAATAGCTACATAAAGTAGTATTCTATCTAATTTGAAGTTTCAGAACACCATTTAATAAGGTTAATTTGATAAAATACATCTTTATCTAAAATTTTATTAAAGGGTAAGTCAAATCAATAAGAGTCGAATAATATGAAATAGAAGGTCGTTAGTAGTGAATGTATGAACATTTAACCGTGTTTAATTAGTTGCAGTTCATATTAATTTTGAATATGCTCTTTTTGTTGTAACATATATAGTATACTCCGTCCTTTTTTGTTGTCTACGAAATCATAAATAAAAATTACATTTTTTTGTTATTAATTTACTTGCATGATCTCTTCAATATAATTTACTTATGTATATCTTGTTCTATGTAATCAAATACTATTATTTTACTTTTGAATTGTGATGTATTCTTTTTCTTAGCAATATATAACTCTATTCTTCACAACACCAATGATATCAACCCTTTTGATTAGCTACTGAAACGTTGGATTTTTTTATCATTTCAATAAATAAATAACATCAGTTTAATTTAATTAACGTAAAATACTCCCTATGTTATAATTTCAATTTTGAATTTTGAATAAAATTAATAAATTGAAGGGAAAAAATGGAAAAGAAATAGGCACTACACAACCATGAAGAATGTCAACAATCAGTCCATCTAAGAATGTATGTAAAAAAATATCATTCTAAAGATATTTGTGTATAATCTAGACAATGAGAGACGAAGTAAATGTAATGGGATTGGATGAGTGGCAGAGTCTAAATCTTTACTAAAAGAGTTCAAAATGTAAAAAATAAACACATAGAAGTCAAGGAATTCAACATTTACTATATATACGTAAAAATAAATGTACTGATCTAATTTTTATAAAAACACTTAGGGAAGCAGTTCATTGCTAATATACTACTTCATCATAGAAAGCATTTGTTGCAAGTCTCCAGTACAATGCATATGTATGGAACCTTTGTCATTTTTGTTAGTGTTATGTTGACCTCAGTAACAAAAGAACAGTGTTTCTTTCACAATTCACAAACTACAACAACAATTTTCACAACCATCTTCTTCAAAGATAACATTTTTCGTCCGCGGGTAGAGGAAGAGGGTACTTAACTAACTGCATTTCAGCTATAATCCATCAGTGATGACAAGTCTATGCTGGGGTAAAAACAAATGGGAAAGGGAAAAGACCAAAAGCATTTTCTGTCCAGTATAACCCTGAAGGAACTAAAATGAATATGTTACACACTCAACTCTATGCTCTTGCATGAACAAAATGAATGAACTGGGAACTGTTCCACAAATACCAGCAACAAAAAAACACTATGTTTCAGTAAACTTCCGCTGCTCCATTAGAAGTAGGTACTCTTTGTCGTTTCTCCACGTACTCAGATGGAAACCAACCTGCCCTGCCTTGGCATTCTCCTTCTGACCACCCTGATTGAGTCACCTGAACATAACATGAAATTGGAAAAGAGAGGCACTCTTCAATTCAACATGGATGTAACAGGATAGAAGAATTAACCATGGTTTCTTCTTTTGGACTCGACTTTACAGTGTTTCATTGAACATATCATGTACATCTATGAATAGATCATAGTTTTATTACCTCTACAATTTTTGAGAAGTAGAATAAAAATGGCATATGGAACAAGAAAATTTAACGGTGTGTCCTTTCCTTTTTCATTTACATAGTATTCTTTATTTTGCTTGCTTTCATTCTCTCTCCTTTTTCTTTTTTGGTGGGGAGAAGTGTGAAAGGAGGGGTAGGTTTAAAGTGAGAAGGGTAGTAGGAGGGACAGGTTTAAAGTGAGAAGGGTAGTAGGAGGGGCAGGTTTAAAGTGGGAAGTTGCGCATATATCAAATAAGCCTTTAGAAGGAAGACTAGTGTGAGTAGTACTAACAGCAATCATCTTTACTGGAAAATTAGAGAAGGCTTAGGACTATAAAAGGTTTGTTGGGTTTAGAAAAAGGATAATGCTCCAGCAGATATACATGTGAGTTTATCAACTTCAATCAATAACTTATTATCTTAAGAGGGAAGGGCCAGAATTAAAGAACAACCTTACGAACAACAACATAATCACCGACAGACAAGCTTAGCTCCTTTTCTGATTCAGCTTCAAAAGAATGAATAGCCTGTGTGACAGAGACACAAAAATTAAGACCATTTCAACTCATTAATAAAACAGTAACACTGCACGGATAAGAGCGTCTTCAGAGCTCACACCAGCAATATATCCTCATTGTCAATCAGCTTTCCCTCTGAGGTTTCTTTCAAATAGTATAATAAATAAATCGTTCTGTGATAAGATTATAACAACTTAGACAACTGTTGTTAAAGCAGATGGTTACCTCGGCCAAAAAGTATTTTGTTTTCTCAGGTGTGTGGGCCGGAGGGTTTACAGCGAGTGTGGCTACAGGAGGAGCAGCCTCTTTTCGCTGTTTTTCAGAAACTATCTGTACAAATTGCAAATTGTCAAGTAAGAAAAAATTACCTAGGTGTAAAGCATACCTCTGGAGAAATAAGAAAGGAAAAACACTCACCTCAGCTTCAATGTTACCCAGAATAACAGCAACTCTCTCATGATAAAGCTTTTCTGCTTCAACCTGCAGATGATTATACTCACTTTTACCATAGTATGAAAATGGTTGACCATGCAAAAGACAAGTTTAAATTCCATGAGAGGCAAATATGCACCATCATACATACCATTGCAACAAGCCTCTGAAATGTAAGCCTCTCCTGCTGTGATTTTACAGCAGCTAATGCTGCTGCTGCTTCTTTACCGAGTATTGTCATGTTGGCTTTGAGTTCGTGCATTTTAGTTTCTGCTGCATGCAGCTTTGCCACATTCTCCGGGATGGGAGCTTCCCTCACCCGAGCTTGTCTTCTAGAAACTTCGGCTGCCTGCTTACTTTGTATTCAATACTAAGGATGTGATGACAGCGTAGAATAGTACAATAAGACAAGTATCCACAGACGTTTATCATACAGTCTTTAGCAAAAGAAATAATCGTTACAGTAACCTGTATCTCCGCCTCTTGCCTCATTTTACTGTAGCGCTGAGCAAGATGACGAGCATCCTCTAAGGGAGAACCAGCTACCATAGCTCTCAATGGTTCCAGTACCTGGAAATCCAAAAGCTCATTTAGTCTGCTGCCGAAGGCTGAACTATGAAGTATTGAACACAGGTTTACACTACTAAGTGTCATGAATCGAAAAAATAAATGTGCAGTATCTTGAAAAGAAATGACAGAAAGAAAAGTAAAAAGAAGGTATGGCCATATTTGCCAATATTATGTTTCATGAGACAAAAAGGTCAGTATCATGATTGTTTACAGTATGTCATTAATCCTTCTTTTTGGTTGGGGAAGAGGGTGATTACTTCTTTTTTTGCAACGAAGCATGTGCTTACAGAAAACCATCCAGAAACCAAAGCAAAAAAAATTCCAAGACCAAGAAGTGCACATGGAAGTGACCTCT